AATCCCAGCTACTCAGGAGGCTGAAGCAGGAGAATCACTTGAACCGAGGAGGCGGAGGGTGCAGTGACCTGAGATCGCGCCATCACACTCCAGCCTGGGCGACAAGAGCAAAACTCTGTTTCAAAAAAAAAAAAAAAAGAACAACTATTCTCTTTTTATTGAGTACTTAAATGTGCCAGGACTGTTATTAGAAGTAGCTTATGGATCTCATTTAATCTTCGTAACAACATTTTGAAGTGGGTTATATTTGCTTGTTTATTTGTTTGTTTGTTTTGAGACGGAGACTCGCTCTGTCTCCCAGGCTGGAGTACAGTGGCGCCATCTCGGCTCACTGCAGCCTCTGACCCTGGTTCAAGCGATTCTCCTGCCTCAGCCTCCCAAGTAGCTGCAGTTACAGGCACACCCCACCACACCCAGCTAACTTTTGTATTTTTAGTAAAGATGGGGTTTCGCCGTGTTGGCCAGGATGGTCTCCATCTCCTGACCTCGTGATCTGCCTGCCTCGGCCTCCCAAAGTGCTGGGATTACAGGTGTGAGCCACCACACCCAGCCAGGCTATATTCTTAATCCCATTTTTTGAAGGGAGAAATTGAGGTCTGGTTGAAGTCACTAGCCATTAGGTTGCTCAGTGGATAGGGGGGTGGGAGAGCTGAGATTAGACCTCCCTAGGCAGCCTGACACCAGTGCCTGAGCTCCTAACCTCTTTGTAGTACTGCTTCACAGTGTTTGCAAACTGAAACCTTACCAGGTAGGGTCTGACCCAAGCAAAAGATTATTACTGACTGTACTCTCAGCCCAAATTACCTTTCAGTTCAGCTAACTGAAAATAATTATAATAGGCCAGGCGCGGTGGCTCACGCCTGTAATCCCAGCACTTTGGGAGGCCGAGGCGGGTGGATCACGAGGTCAAGAGATCGAGACCATCCTGGTCAACAAGGTGAAATCCCGTCTCTACTAAAGCTACAAAAAATTAGCCGGGCATGGTGGTGCGTGCCTGTAATCCCAGCTGCTCAGGAGGCTGAGGCAGGAGAATTGCCTGAACCCAGGAGGCGGAGGTTGCAGTGAGCCGAGATCGCGCCATTGCACTCCAGCCTGGGTAATATGAGTGAAACTCCGTCACAAAAAAAAAAAAAAAAAAAAAGAAAATAATTATAATAATGGTGCTAATTTGCCCCCCGGTGATTGGCAGGATAAGGAGGATGGATCATTTAGAATCAAAAGCTGAAAAAGCCTGGGCGAGCACCTGTAATCCCAGCAGTTTGGGAGGCTGAAGGCAGAAGGATTGCTTGAGGCCAGGAGTTTGAGACCAGCTTCGGCAACATAGCAAACCCCACCTCTGCAAAAAATAACAAAAAGGTAGCCAGGCCAACTACTCAGGAAGCTGAAGCAGGGGGATCACCTGAGCCAAGGATAAGGAGGCTGCAGTGAGCTGTGATCACACCACTGCACTCCAGCCTGGGCAGCAGAGCGAAACCTTGTCTCAATAAACAAACAAATAAATAGCCAAAGAAAAGAACATAGGTCATTTAATCCAAAACTCTAATTCTTTTTTTTTTTTTTTTTTTTTTTTTTTTTGTCAGAGTGTTTTTTTGCTGCCCAGGCTGGAGTACGGTGGCTTGATCTTGGCTGCTGCAACCTCCACCTCCCGGGTTCAAGTGATTCTCCTGCCTCAGCCTCCTGAGTAGCTGGGATTACAGGCGAGGGCCACCACACCTGATTAATTTTTGTATTTTTAGTAGAAAGAGTTTTCGCCATGTTGGGCAGGCTGGTCTCGAACTTCTGACCTCAAATGACCCATCTATCTAGGCCTCCTAAAGTCCTGGGATTATAAGCATAAGCCACTGCACTCAGCCAACCCATTTATTTTCAAGACAGAAAGCAGAGGGACTTGTCCAAAATCACACAGCTAATTAGGAAGTACCAGGACCACAACCCATACCTTCTTCCCCCCAGTCCAGAACTCTTTCTGTTCCACTCATCTTTGTTGGGCCAGGGATGCCATGTTGGCCTGGAAGCCAGGACCTGAGTCCTCACCTTCCTTACCAAAGGCTCCTTACAGCAGTCAGGCCTGCAGAAGTGTGTTTCTTCCTCCTGAGACTTGTTTGTTGCAGCACCAAGGACTCCCCCACCCAAAACTCCTTATCAGGAGCCAGGATGGGCTCTTAATCTGCAATGCACAGGGCCTTGTCTACTCTCTGGAGAGGTGCATTATCGTTCAAAAACAGCTGACTAATCGCAGGTCTCCCAAGCTGGCACCGCTTACCAAGTGGAGAAGATGCAAGCGGAACAGACCAACCAATGCCTAGTCCCTGAACATAGGAAAGCCACCAACTGCAACTCTTCAAGCAAGTTCAGGCCAGAGCCCCTGTACCTCCAGGTAGCCAAGGGGTATGCTCCAGTTCTGGTTCACATCTAAAAAGAGAACATCTTGCTTGATCACAGAACCTTCTCATGTAAATTGAGGGACTACTAGTTTACCAAGAGCCGAGAGTGGCCCCACACTGAATCTGCCTTGCTGTGGCTTCCCTGACTTGAAGACACAGAAGTCGGTAAAGTGTCTCCTCAGTCTCCAGATAGCCTTCCCTAAATTTCAGGCTTTCCACTATGCAAGGAAATAACCTTCATGATCGAGGTCTTTGAGGAATCAGGAAGACAGATGCTGACTTTGTACCAAACACTCAAAAGAGGGTAGGTAAAAATTCCTCAACCCTAACTAACCCTGTCTTACATCCAAAAAGCACTTTTCAACAAGTGTCTAGGACATTTATTTCAGAAGCTACAAATAAAAACGAGACTACTTTCAATAAAAGCCCCTTCATACAATGAGTCTATGAGTCTTAACCAAATTCTATTTATTTTATTTTATTTTATTTTGAGGCAGAGTCCCCCTCTGTCACCCAGGCTAGAGTGCAGCTCACTGCAACCTCCACCCTGGTCAAGCGATTCTTTTGTCTGAGCCTCCCAAGTAGCTGGGACTGCAGGTGAGTGTCACTGCACCTGGCTAAGTTTTGTATTTTTAGTAGAGATGGCATTTCACCATATTGGCCAGGCTGGTCTTGAACTCCTGACCTCATGATCCGCCTGCTTCTGTCTCCCAAAGTGCTGGGATTACAGGCATGAGCCACCACGCTCTCTCAACCAAATTCTATTTATGATACAGATGACCCGGCCTCCCCTAACCCCATCCCTGGCTCCCCTACCCTCCTCGCTCGATATAGGCGTAGTTCGCACAGCCTCCCTGTGCTACCTCCAGCCTAGCACACCTAGGGAAAACTGTATGTTGATACAGGTCATGGAGGTATGAAATGAAGTTGGGGGAGCTGTCACTGTGTATGAAGCAACATGTATAAAATTTAGTTTAAACATGGCTCACCTACAGCCAAGAAAAAAGTAGACCAGGGCCGGGCGCGGTGGCTCAAGCCTGTAATCCCAGCACTTTGGGAGGCCGAGGCGGGTGGATCACGAGGTCAAGAGATCGAGACCATCCTGGTCAATATGGTGAAACCCCGTCTCTACTAAAAATACAAAAAATTAGCTGGGCATGGTGGCGCGTGCCTGTAATCCCAGCTACTCAGGAGGCTGAGGCAGGAGAATTGCCTGAACCCAGGAGACGGAGGTTGCGGTGAGCCGAGATCGTGCCATTGCACTCCAGCCAGGGTAACAAGAGCGAAACTCCGTCTCAAAAAAAAAAAAAAAAAAGAAAAGAAAAAAGTAGACCAGGTCAAAATGTACTTGGCCTCAGTGGGAACTGCTGGGTTTGTATCAAAACCTCATGGAAAGAACTCGAAAGTCAGGGAGGATAAAAAGTGTTATTTCCTTGCATGTACCCAAAGGGAGTTAGAAATTGATAACAAACGTTTGGCTCTCACTCCAGTGTTTGCTGCCGGAAGTAGTTGCTCTTGGCTGGGTGCGGTGGCTCACGCTTGTAATCCCAGCACTTTGGGAGGCTAAGGCGGGCGAATCATCTGAGGTTGGGAGTTCAAGACTAGCCTGACCAACATGGAGAAACCCGTCTCTACTAAAAATACAAAAAATTAGCCAGGTGTGGTGGCACGTGCCCATAATCCCAGCTACTTGGGAGGCTGAGGCAGGAGAATCGCTTGAACTTGGGAGTTGGAGGCTGCAGTGAGCCGAAATCGAGCCACTGCACTCCAGCCTGGCAACAGAGTGAGACTACGTGTCAAAAAAAAAAAAAAAAAAAAAAAAATGGGGGAAGTAGGCTAGGCTTACACCTATAATCCCAGCACTTTGGGAGGCTGAGGTGGGCGGATCACAAGGTCAAGAGATCAAGACCATCCTGTCCAACATGGTGAAACCCCGTCTCTACTAAAAATGCAAAAATTAGCGGGGTGTTGTGGCACGCTCCTGTAGTCCCAGCTACTCCGGAGGCAGAGGCAGGAGAATTACTTGAACCCGGGAGGCAGAGGTTGCAGTGAGCTGAGATCACGCCACTGCACTCTAGCCTGGCGACAGAGTGAGACTCTCTCTAAAAGGTGGAAGTAGGCTAGGCTCACACCTGTAATCCCAGCACTTGGGGAGGAGGAGATGGGAGGATTGCTTAAGCTCAGGAATTTGAGACCAGCCTGGGCAACATGGCAAAACCCAGTCCCTACAAAAACTATAAAAACCAACCGGGAGTGGTGGCACACGCCTGCAGTTTCAGCTACTCGAGGCAGAGGTGGGAGAATTATTTAAGCCCAGGAGGCAGAGCTTGCAATGAGCTGAGATTGCACCACTGCACTCCAGCCTGAGCAACAGAATGAGACCGTATCCAAAAAAAAAAAAAAAGAGGGAAGTAAGGAGCTACTTTCCAGGGAAGAGGGGATGCTTGGAAATGGCCCCACCACACAACCAGATTTTTCTTTTATACCACCCACATGCTGTAGATTGTCTGAGTGCAACTGAGGAGAAATACTATGAAACACAAAGAAAGGATTTGGATCTGAAAGGGAAATGCAAATGTGAAATGTGGGAATTTTATCTTCCCTATACCACACAAGTTTGTCCTGCTACATTTTTATTAAAGTAACAAAAAAGGTGTACATTTGTCCATACGCTGTACATTCTTCCATATAAAAACACTATCATACAATTAGTAACCTTTGTTTTTTCTGTCAGAATAGCTTACAAACGTACTACTATTATTTATTTTTACTTAATAGGAGAGACAGGCCTGCTCAACAGTCCAGCTCAGGGGTTTTGTTGTTTTTAAAGTGAACATCAAAAAGAAGAGAAGAGAGACAAGACGAAGCATGAGACCACGAGGCTGCTTCTACAAAGGCAGGGACCTGTTTGCAGACAGGACTCGAGAACACGACCCGCAGTGACTCACAGTTTTGTTTCAACCCACAAGCCAGAAAATGAGCTCTCGGTTCTGTGGGCCCAAAGTTAACTTTAAAGCAATAAAGGCTGGAAGCAGGGTCTGGGAAGGCAACACAAAAATGTGGGGAGTTGAAAAGGAGGCAGAACTGCCAGGAATGGTTAGAGAGAGTGTTTGGTACATAGCACCTTTGAATCAAAATTGAGCAGTTAAGAAATCCAGTAAAGGGGACTGGCTGTGGGGAAGGGAGCCTGGGTGCAGCGGAAGAGGGGGAAAGATTCCTCACTAAGGGGCAACAGCAGGAGGGTAGCCATCCTGGCCAAATGCTCTAGCCCTGTCCTTCTTAAGGTGATTCGGTTTGGGAAACTCGAGGTCTTTTGAGGACCCCTCATCAATGTCACTGAGAAATTGAAGGGAGTTTCTTCCCAGTGTAGCTTTCCACTTTTCTCCAACCCACAACAGTAAATATTGCACAAGTCTGACAGATTTGGACTGTACTGAGAGAGACAACCTTTCCCACAGGTGCTCTGAGCACCAGGGAGAAAAAACAGTGCCCAAGGTTTGGCTTTCATTTAGTGTCAGGCCTACAAGAATACCAAGTAGTCTTGCAGAGCACAGGGCACTCTCCCATTCAGCCAAGGAATACATGCAAGGCTGACCAGCCAGCCATCATCCCAAGGAGAGCAGGAGAGATGGTTCCCTAAGCCCACCAGGGCATCAGGAGGTTCTGAGAGCCAGTTTTCCTCCAGACCCTCCTGGGACCCAGAGGGCATATTGCACAGTGACTGAGAACTCTTGTCCTAGAAAAGAGGGTAGCTCCATGACCCAACCAGAAGGAAAGGGGAGGTGAGGGTTAGAGGAGAGTTGTGCTTTTGAAAAGAAGGCAGTAATAAAGGACCTGGAGTTCCCTGTAGCTTGTGGGCCACCTCTCAAAGGGATCATGGCAGCAGCATCAACACTTTCATGTGCTTCCAAAAAGAAGAGTTTTGGCCAAAAAACATCCCCAGTGGATCCTCTTTGGATTCCAAAATTCCATTGCAAAGCACCCCCAAATTATTCGCCACACATACACACAAAGCAGCACTAGCAAAGCAAAGGTTTTGTGCAGAGTTCCCTTCCATCCTAACCCCAATAACCTCCAGTTCCTTCCTCTCCCTCAGAGAAAAAACAAAAAAACAAACAAAAAAAAAAAACCCAAAGCTTTAGATTCCTGGCTGAGAGGCAAGATCTACAGGCCCCTGAGGGTAGAATTAGAAACAAGTCAAGATTTCAAGAAAAATTGCTTAGGACAGTAGGAATCAGGAGAGACCTTTTCACTCTCTGCCCAGGACCTCATTAGAAAAATAAAAGAGAAGATTAGGCAACAAAGTATTATTTAAGTCCAGGCATGAATGCCCCTGAGTAAGAGAGGAGCTGGGAATGCAGGTGTCTGGCTGGGGGAGACAGAGAGTTCTGAACTTGGCCTCTCTTCCTCCCCCAGGGCAAATCCCGACCTCTCGGTTCACAGTTGCTAACCTTGCTTGCTCCCTCTCACATCTTCTGGGGTGCTAGCCAAACGTCTTCTACCTCACCTTGGCTAGGTTTACCCCCTCAGAGCTCCCCCTCCTATAGGCAGACACTGGCTCACAGACTCAAGCACACAACAGTTCTCTCCAAAGGCACCTGGGGAGGCTACTTTCAAGCAGCTCCCTTGAAGGATTTTTTTTCTTAAAAAAAATCTTTTGGTTTTTTTCTCTTTTCTTAAAAAAAAAATAATATATATATATAAATAGCTCTTCATTTAAAAATACAGTTCCCCAGGTTGAGGTATGTGGTGGCTTGTTGTCACGGCAGCATGAGCACGGCGGTGCCCAGGGTGGGGGCGGAGGGGCCTAGCTGGAGACCGCAGTCAGGTAGTTCTTGGGGGGGCTGCTCCGGCCCAGCAGCACTTGGTTCTTGCAGGTGAGGAGCCCACAGGAGGCGGCAACGGGGGCCTCCTCGTACAAGACGCAGATGGAGCCATCTTCCCCAATGCGGTAGGACACCTCATAGGGGTCCACCCACAGGGTCAGCTCGCTGGGCAGCAGCTGGTGCAGCTGGGGCTGGCTGAGTCCAATCTGGCTGGCCACCCTGCTGATGATGGGGTCCATCTTGTGGTTGATGCGAATGCAGCGGTAGCCGGAGCCCTTGGATGGCTTTTCAGGAAACCAGTGATGTTTGTAGTGCTCTGTGGAGACAGGACCGAGGGAGATGCCCTGGTTAGAATTGCTCAGCCACGGATGCTCCCACAGGGCAGGGAAGAGGGTCAAAGGACAGGAGGAGAGGAAGGGCCCAGTGACTTTAAGTAAGGGAGGTGGACTCTCCTCAGTTCCAGGACCCTCTTGTCATTTAGCAGAGAAAATTTTACGGGAGCTGGAGAGACCGGCTTTTGCTTCCAGGACAAGAAAGTGAGTGAGTGAGTGAGTGAGTGTGTGTGTGTGTGTGTGTGTGTGTACTGGGAGGGGATTCGAGCTCTGGGGTACTCTCTAGTGGCCACTGTATTGCTTTTGGCACACCGTCAGTTTCAGGAGGGAAGGGTGTGACACGGGTTGGTATGCCCAGGCAGGGCCTCTGGAGACCTGTGAGCTGAAGTTTCAGGGTCAGGAAGGCTGCCGCTGCCAACATTGTTGGGTCCACAGCAAGTCATTGGGCCTCACGCCCTGTGTTCCCTCTGCCTCCTTTAGAAGAGTCAGAGAACCTTCTTTGGCAGTGCCTAAGGGAGTGAAAACTGCGTTGTTTTGATGAAACGTCTGTTTCCCTCAGAAGGCAGGGTCTGTGTGGGTGTGTTCCGAGACGGCTATCGCTTCCCAAAACTGCCGGCAACCAGCTAGAAACAGCTGGGAGAGAGGTCTCTCTCCCCAGCGAGCGGGCTGCTTATCTCTTCTCCACCTCCCGACTCGAAGGCCCTCCGGGAAGGGTCACCACCTACCAAGCTCTCCTCCCTACCACAATAGGTGGCAGATGGCTAACGGGGACCAAAGAGAACACAAAGGGGGCCCAGATTCCAACTTGAAGCGAGTCAGCAACCAGTGGACCGCCCCAGACACAGCGCACCCCAACCGGCAGGAAGAGCCGCACTGGGTCTCCAAGTTGCTGAAAAGGCTCAACTGCACCTTCTTTCCTCATCAGGACCTCTCGGCCGGCCGGGCGGCCCGCAACAACACCCATCGAGGGTCCAGCGAGGGAGACGAGCCCGTAATCAAACCAGGACATAAGCTGGGGACTCGGGCTGGCACTCCAGGACCAGGGTCTGCGCCCCCGAGGGCGTGGAGGGGCGCGCCCCATCAGAACCGCCACGGGCAGAGACCCGAGCACACAGCTGGGGAGGAGGATCCAGGAAACGGGGGCTGCGGGCCGCCCCAGGGGGCAACTGAGTCCCAAAGCTGCTCCCGTGGGCGACCCTGCCGCAGGAATAGAGGAAAGACGGCCCTGGCAGGGAGGGCGCCGACCCCCGGTGGCGTCAGGCCCTCGGCGTGCGCTCACCTGTGAGTGCCTCCTGGAGCGCCCCGCTGAAGACCTTAAGCCTCTGTTCGCTCACGCAGCCCCGGGTCCTCAGGAGGCTGGAGAGGAAGCCCACTGCGGCGGCGATCTCCGGGAGCATGTCGGTTCCCTTCCCGTGGCTCATGTCGCGCGCGGCTGGGGCGCAGTGAGAGGTCTCGCGTGGGAACTACGGGTCCACAAGCCAGCGCTGGCTGGCCGCTGCTCGGGCTCTGCCCGGACTTCTCCCGGACCGCGCTTTTCAGGAGGTCGGGGAAGGTGGGGACAGCCGGCGGCGGCGCTCATTGGCTGCGGCCGGCGGATGGGGGCGGGGCCTGGAGCCGCCCCGCCCCGCCCTGCGCACCGACGCTGGTCCCCGACGCCCGTCGCCCCCGCCCCCGCCGTCGCAGCCTCGGCGATACTGAGGTCATCGCTCGTTGACGTCAGTGCTAGGAACCCGCGCCCGGCTGAGCTTTGCGAGGCGGGAGGAGACAGCGAGGGCCAGGGAGGGGCCCGAGCGCTCTGGGCGGAGGGAGGCGGCTCCCGAGTGCTCCCCGCCGGGCAGGCCCGGGCCTCGCCTCTCCGCCCATCTTTTTTTTTTTTTTTTTTTTTTTTTGAGACCGAGTTTCGCTCTTGTTGCCCAGGCTGGAGTGCAATGGCGCGATCTCGGCTCACCGCAACCTCCACCTCCTGGGTTCAGGCAATTCTCCTGCCTCAGCTTCCTGAGTAGCTGGGATTACAGGCACGCGCCACCATGCCCAGCTAATTTTTTGTATTTTTAGTAGAGACGGGGTTTCACCATGTTGACCAGGATGGTCTCGATCTCTTGACCTTGTGATCCACCCGCCTCGGCCTCCCAAAGTGCTGGGATTACAGGCTTGAGCCACCGCGCCCGGCCTCTCCGCCCATCTTTAAGGCTCTGGTTAGAAGCCGCCTCCTCCGAGAAGCCTTCAGTGACACCACCCCTCCCAAAGTTTCCCCTTTCTGATTCCCACAGCGTTTTCCAACCATACACGGTCAGAACCACTCACCAGGACGTGTGGTCACCGCTTGACGGCTTTGCTTCCTCTCTTAACTAGATGAAGTGGGTTCCTCTTGGCTCTTTGGAAAGGGAGGCTGTCTTCTGTTTATTTCCGTAGTAATCCCACCTCCCACAAGTTCCACCGTCTACAGCAATGCCTTTTCTCTTGCTTAGAAACACTCAAGGCCGGGCGTGGTGGCTCACGCCTGTAATCAAAGCACTTTGGAGGCCAAGGCGGGCGGATCATCTGAGGTCGGGAGTTCAAGACCAGCCTGACCAACATGGTGAAACCCAGTCTTAAAAAAAATAAAAGAAAGAAACACTCAAGTCTAACTTTTCTGGTGGGTAGGGGCAGGAGGTGTGTTGCAAGCCTTTTGTCTTCTCCTCTTATTTTTCTAGTTCTCACTTTCCTTAAGTGCCGACTTTTTTGAATTCGTAGTCTGCTCGCAACTGTACATATTCTTCCATCCTCTCCCTCCTTCCCCCAGCCGTCTTCCTTTCTCATTGTGGATTGGAGCTTCTCAGGAAAGAATTTGGCCTCAGTGTCCCTCTGCTACACTCAGGGCCTGCCACCATCACGGGCACTAGGTAGACGTCTGTTGAATGTGAATAACTTCTGCCCAACACCCCGGAGCCTGGCCCAGGGTCTGGCATACAGATTCCCAGTGTTTGTAAAGTGACTCACACCCAATGGCCTCTGTAAATTCCCATTTTCCTTGAACTCTGGACCCTCTGACCACCTTCTGGAAGCAGTGTCCCTGTCCTTCTTCCTCGTGCCCCAGGCTTCTCCAACCCCCTTGCCTTGCTGTGCTGGCCCTGGATCCCTTCCTGCCCCGTTCCCCACACTATGTCCCCTCAGTCCTCTTCCCTTTTCTCTAGGCTGCCTTTCCTTGGAGAGGTCCTATGCATGACGTCTGTCTTGATATGACTGTTTCACAATGGCTTTTCTCATCTGCACAGTCTTTCCATCCTGCTCCTGTTTGCACCGGCTCTGTCCTCTCCCTTGGATGTCCAGCCTCACATTGACACCTCAGTGTCAGCCGAAGCCAGCTCCCTCCTGATCTCCATTTCTGTCAGTGATACCATCATTTCCCAGTCACTCGGCTCAGAAAGGTCAGCCTCTCCTTGTACTTTGCTCCCCAGATCCAGTCCCCGAATTGGTTGCTTCTTTTTATCTAGATTGTTGCAGTGGATTCCATCCAGTCCCATCCCCAGGCCACCCTTCCCACTGTTAGTGGAGTTCTCTTCCTAAAATACTCCGTTCACTAGCTCTTCTCTTGCTCAGGTCATTCTGAAACCCTCCCCCACCCATTCGTCTACTAAATCAAATCCAGACTACTTTGCCTAATGGTTAAGACCGTTCATCATTTAACCCCCTCTGCCTTTTTAGGTTTCTGCTACTTTGTGCTCCAGGGTCACTCTTCTCACTGTCCTCTAAGTATCACGGCAAATCTATAGCCTGGACCCCTCAACAGTTTGCCCGTGATCCCCATCTCTTCCCTGTAATGTGCTCCCCACTCCATGCATGCCTGAACATGCATGACCCTGCTGCCCCATGGCTCATGTCCTTATCTCCTGCATCCATCATTGTCTCCACCACGCCCCCCTGCCCTGCCCCGCCTCACTCTCCCACACCACGGAAGGCACAGTGTAATCTTAGTCTTCCACCTTAAAAACCTATGCTGACCATTCTCTCGCGGCTGAGTTAAGGTCATCCATACCATACATTGGGCATCATAATCTATCATTTGGTAGTGTTAGTGATCTTTATTTAGAGACTCAGCCAGACTTTGCAAGTTACTTGAAAACAGGTTACTAGGCTCACCTGTCCCACATTTTTGGGACAACACAGAATTCAAATATTCCGCTCTACTGCTTCATACAACAAATCAAAATGCCCTGGAATTCTAAGATTTGGCATTAAACACATTCAGACGGCCTCTTCAGTGGTGTCTCCCCAGATGCTGGATCAGGCCAGATGAGGTAATGGTCTCGTTCCTGACCTCAGGTGATCCACCGGCCTTGGCCTGCCAAACTGCTGGGATTACAGGCATGAGCCACTGTGCCCGGCCCTCCTCTTTTCTTTCTGTACACAAGCCTAGGGAGAGGAAGCTTAATTTATCTCATCATTCAAAGTTTCCAAGTCAATATACAGTGCAGCTGGGCGCAGTGGCTCAAACCTATAATCCTAGGATTTTGGGAGGCTGAGGCAGCTTGATCACTTGAGGACAGGAATTCAAGACCAGCCTGGCCAACATAGTGAAACCCCATCTCTACTAAAAACACAAAAATTAGCTGGGCGTGGTGGTACGTGCCTGTAGTCCCAGCTACTCCAGAGGCTGAGGCAGGAGAATCACTTGAACCTGGGAGGCAGAGGTTGCCGTGAGCCGAGATCACGCCATTGCACTCCAGCCTGGGCAACAGAGCAAGACTCCATCTCAAAAAGTAAAAAATAAATTAAAAAATACATATACAGTGTAATTGTACCCTGCTCTGGATTTAGGTTCTCAATCAATTTCTGGACAAATACATTAAAGTAGTCCGATTGTTTTTGAAATTTCCTGAAACTGCTCTTAAATTGCTAGGACCAGAATCCTTAGAGGCTCTAAAAGTCAAGATGCCACCCCTGCTTTTTTTGTTTGCATGTTGCCTGTTGCCTCCTAATCCTTGGTATAACCAAGGTGCTGTTAGAGCAGCACGACAAGGAGAGTGGGTGACACTCTGCCTCTCCACCTGTCCTTCCTGCTTCTCTTCCTCCCTCCTGCCCTTCTCCCCTTCCTCCTCGTTCTCCTCTTCCTCCCTCCACTCCCACCCCAAGGGTCTTGGATTGAATTTTGAACTTTAAATGTTGACATGTGCTGACCAGTGACTTCACTCACTGAAGAGGGAGATGGGGTGGTGGGAGTGAGGGTGGACTTCATGTATGCCTCATCGGGACCAGAACTTCTGTGCCAAGTGACCTCAGACCTATTGGTTCCTCTGGTCCTGGTTGCTCATCTCGCCCACTTGCACGGCCCACCTGTGTGACCCACTCAGGAGTGACTCACCGGCTCTCTTCAGGCCATATTCCCACTCAGAAGTGGGTCCCAATCCTCAGGCCTCTGTGCTGGCCCTGTCTGTGGGGGTAGCACACGGCCCTGCTCTCCATTTCCAGCTCAGAAGCAACTGGATGGTTGCAAATGATTTTTTTTTTTTTTTTTTTTTTTTTTTTTTTTGAGATGGAGTTTTCGCTCTATCACCAGGCTGGAGCGCAGTGGCGCCATCTCAGCTCACTGCAACCTCCAAGTCCCTGGTTCAAGAGATTCTCCTGCCTCAGCACCCCCCCTCCCCGCCCCAAGTAGCTAGGATTACAGGCATGTGCCACCACGTCCAGCTAATTTTTGTATTTTCAGTAGAGATGGGGTTTCACGATGTTGGCCAGGCTGGTCTCGGTCTCCTGGCCTTATGATCCGCCTGCCTCAGCCTCCAAAAGTGCTGGGATTACAGGCGTGAGCCATCGCGCCTGGCTGTTGCAAGTGATTTCTATCTTTCCCAGCACTGTTGGGCCTGTGGGGACTTGGCTTGGTTGCCTCAGTTTTCTGAGCATAATTAGAAACCTCAGGTTGAGTGAGGTAGGCAGAGGCTGGGCTGATATTCTTGGAGGATAAACAGGTCATTTCTACACTATGCAGCGTGTATTTTTTGTTGGTCTGTGTGTATGTGTCAGTGTAGTTAGGGAGGTATTAGTATACATATTTGAGTGAACATACATACTTAGATTGCACGTGGGCTCTGATGTTTGTGGGTAGAAGGGGATATGGGTACGTGTTAACTATGTTAATATGCACATATAATGGTATCCGTTGAAGAAGGTCATCTTGAGAAATGTGGGCATCAGGGCAGAGGGTACGTTTTGGTGGAGTATGTCTGAGTGTAGCTGGTGCGAATGCTAATTTGATCATTCCTCTTTACAGACCTCATTGGTGACAGCTTTACTGTGCTGCCAGAGCTGATAAGAAACATCACCCAGGCCGGGCGCGGTGGCTTACGCCTGTAATCCCAGCACTTTGGGAGGCCGAGGCGGGTGGATCACGAGGTCAAGAGATCGAGACCATCCTGGTCAACACAGTGAAACCCCGTCTCTACTAAAAATACAAAAAATTAGCTGGGCATGGTGGTGCGTGCCTGTAATCCCAGCTACTCAGGAGGCTGAGGCAGGAGAATTGCCTGAACCCAGGAGGCGGAGGCTGCGGTGAGCTG